TCCTGCACATCCCCTACTGAGGATCAAACTCACAACCCTGGCATGTGCGCTTGACCAGAATCAAACCTGGGACCCTTCAGTCCACAGGCCAACACTCTATCCACTGAGCCACACCGGCTAGGGCTCAGAGACTGGTTTGTCTTCACACGTGCTTATTTCATGCTTAGCCCTGCCTTTCTCCTCTAAGAAACTACTCATTCTTTAAGCACTTTCTATAGGAAAGAGTAACTGACTCAAAAGCACAGAAATTATTTACTTATTATTATAATTTACTTATTCTTATAGCCCCTTAGTGCAGTGGTTCTCAACCTGTGGGTCGCGACCCCTTTGAGGATCGAACGATCCTTTCACAGGGGTCCCCTAAGACCATCGGAAAACACATATATAATTACATATTGTTTTTGTGATTAATCACTATGCTTTAATTATGTTCAATTTGTAACAATGAAATCGTTACATGAGGAACTGTATTAAAGGGTCCGGCATTTGAAAGGTTGAGAACCACTGTGTTAGACTAAGGAAAGAGGAGATAAGACAATGTGATTATGAACTTTTAGAGGAAATGGTAATCCTGTGAAATTGAATGAAATCTAATAAATCTAATCTAATCTATTCCATCTAAATTTAACGATAAAGCCTGGGAGTTTCCTAGTAGTGGCCTAAGAATGTAACAAATAGAACCGATATACCATCAAACCAAAGGATTGTAGCTTTGCGTGAGGATTCCATCAGAAACCAAGAAACCAGCTGTCGCCCACCAGGAGTTAGTTGGGAGGAGGCGTAGAGGAATAGGTTAATGAGATGCTGAGACAACCCTCCGCGTGGTCCGAGAGCCCTTGCCGGGCGCGGGGCGCGGGGCGCGGGGACTCAGACCCCTCTGCCCACTGTGCGGCAGCGGACGAGCTCCCCTCCCACTCTGTGGGCTATGGTGCCCGCTCGCACCAACGTGCCTGCTGGGATCCCCAGGAGCAAAGTGAAATATTCAATGCTCTCCAGAACTGACGATGGACCCATGAACCCCCAGAAGGACTCTTTACCCGCTGAAGATGGCTGTAAACCCCAAAGATGCCCCGGAGTGGCGAGATCGCACTTGCTAAAGTGTCAGGAAAGCCCCGCGCAGGTTCCCCACAAGGCCATCGCCTGCTTCGCCCTGCAGGTTTTGATCAGAGCCGTTCTCCTGATCACCGGCTGCCTTCTGCTGGCGGGCTACCTCAGCGCAGCAGGACCCAGCCGGGCCGTTGCCGTCCTCATCGTGGGCATCCTGGTGTTGCTGCCCGGGTTTTACCACCTGCTCATCGCTTGCAAAGCCCATCGAGGCTGCCCTGGCTACTCCTACCGAGACCTTCCGGACTGTGGCGACTAGCCCCACGGCAGCCTGGAGGGTGCGCAGGGGCTGAGCGGAGCTGGAAGGCATTTGGCAGAAGCTGTCGAAGGATTAAGGAGTTCTGCAATTTTGCAGCTACTTGCAAAACTGTGGCCAGATTTGATAAATCCCTACCCAGAATGTAAATTGAATTTATAATTAGACAAACAGGAAACCAGGGCGTGCTCTTATTTTTATTTTCCTTGCCCTGGCTAAAACCCCTGACAGGTTTCTCCCCAGGAATATGAATAATGGAAGACTGCTACAGTTGTGTTGTGTGGAGGCCCCATCAGCTTTAAGACAGAACTGGCTTTAAATCCAGATGCAAACTTTCTAGCAGTATAAGCTGACACAGGTACCTTAATGCTCTAACTCAGAGTTTGGGACCATAATTTCTACTGTTTGGGGTTTCAGTAGGGGTCAAAGTATTTTAGAGTAATAACATGGCACATAGACGTTCCCCAAAGTGTTAATTTCTCACCCTGAAAGAGGCTTCTGCAGAAGACTGCACTCAAAATTAACTAAAGCCACAGTGAACTGCATCTATCCACTGAAAGTTAACAAAACCCAGGCACCACACTGCTCA